TAAATTAGTTAATAAATGTAAAGCACTTATAAGAGTGCCTGGTGCCTAGTGTATTCTCAATAGATATTAATTATTATTGTCATTATTTTTTTAAGGATTTTATTTATTTGACAGAGAGAAACACAGCGAGAGAGGGAACACAAGGAGGGGGAGTGGGAGAGGGAGAAGCAGGCTTCCAGCGGAGCAGGGAGCTGGATGTGGGGCTCAGTCCCGGGACCCTGGGATCATGACCTGAGCCGAAGGCAGATGCTTAACGACTGAGCGACCCAGGCACCCCTGTTGTCATTATGAAAGGAGAAGCCAGGCTCCACGGGGCTTATACAGTCCTGGCCAGAAATACTGGGCCGACCCTGACCCTTGTGCTTTGGGACCCCTTGGAAGGGCTGCTCCTCTTGTCCAGGAATGTCTAAGTACAGTGACCTCATGACAGCTTCCCGATTCCTGAACTCAGCATTTGGTACCATAGGCACCACAGGGCCGTCCCTGAGGAACTTGGATCATGGCGCTGCCCAGAGGGAGAGAAGGAAAGGCCCTCCCTGCCCGTCTTCCTCCAACCCCCACCACTCACAAGGCCTCTGTGTTGAATCCCTCAGGGAGAAGCAGGAGCGGGATGCTCTGTGAGCTCCCCGTCCAGGGGCCCAAGGCTGGTACGCTGGTACCTCCCAGCCTCTCCTCCCCTCTTCCTGGGTCATGTGAGGAGGTGGTGCCCGCCCTGCCTCTCTGTCCATGAGCCCACCTTGGACTCGGTCAGGCCCCCAGGCCTCTTGCAATGACTCCTGATTAATAAAATGCCCATCCAGTGGACAGGAAGGGCCCAACCCTCGAGGAGAGCGAGGGAAGGAAGCACGGGGCTATGCTTGACACCAGCCCCACCTGGGACCCGCCCTCGGTCCCAGCAGAACCTATGACTGCAACACAGCTGTCGCTCTTGGGGCCAAAGGGCACACATACCCTGGTGTCCCTCTGCTTTGGCCTATGGGGTCTGGCCACGTGGAAGTGTCTGTGAGGCTGCGGGACAGGTAGCACTGGCTGATGGAACTCAGCCTCCCAATGCTGTGAGACGTTGTGTTTTGGGGTCTAACCAGTCTCGACCTTGTAGCCAGAGCCCCCGCTTCGCAGCAAGAGGCAGATGCAGCCAGCTTCCCTGGGCTCCAGTGAACACATTGGAAATTGCCTGCCTGCTGCGGGTCTTGCCCCGGCACCTCACCCCAATACTGTCTTTGCCTCCAGCTCTCCCAGGCCTCCTGTTGCAAGGAGAACCCAAATTCCCAAGTGTGCACACAGAGGCCTTCACCACCTGGCCCCTCTCTATCTGTCTGGAGTCCTAGCCCCTCTCTGCCCCTTGATGTTTTATGCCCAGCCACACCACACAAGCTGCTTCTAGGATGTGGAGACACTGTGCTCTCTGATGCCCCTTTGCTTTTGCATGTGCCGTCCCACCTGCCTGGGACTTCTCCCCACGACTTCCCTGCAAACGTGTACTTCCTCCGGATTCAACCCAAGCATGACGTCCTCACTTCATATATATACCTTTGTGATAGCTCCCATCATGCGATTTCGCCGTTTTGTATTTGTTTTCCTGAAGAGACCATGAGCTCCCTGAGAACAGGCAGTGGATCTCATTCATCTCTGAATCCCCAGGCCCTTGTATAGGCCCCAGCAATGAGTGGGTGCTTGGTATTGGCTGGGTGGGACAGAGACAGAGGGCCCAGCTGCTCGCGTGCTCCCAGTGAGGTATGCAGGCCCTTCCCTGGCTCCCAGGTCGGGCATCCTTCACGGACAGCCACGGCCTGATCTCAGCAGGTTTCAACGTGTGTCCACCGCAGAGCTGAATAGAAAAGCCCCCACTGGCAACAGCCCAGGCCTTGCTCTGCAGCATGGGATCTCCGTCTCTGGAGGGGCTATCAGGGAAAGTCTGTAAGACCCACAGGGAAAGAAACAGCGGGGCATCAGGGCTCCCTGACTCCGGGACAGTTCACATTTCGAGATGATCTGGTGACTTTGCTCGGGAAGCAGCGAAGGCAGGAGATGGAGAGGCAGCGGGGGTAGAGGCTGTGCCCTCCAGGAAGGCTTCAGAGTCTGTTCTGCAAACAGTCTTGGCCACCCAACGTGCCGTCGTCAGGTGTGGGGACCTGGCTTGAGGCGCGGGGGAGGGGGGCTGCCATTGCCTTCAGTGGTCCCTGGGAAAAGGGCACGCCCTCGGATCTCAGCTTCTGTGCGCCCCCTACAAGGCGGAGACCTGCTCTGAAGAAGGAAGCAGCCCGTGCATGAGCTTGCGCTGGCTTCGGCAACATGACGGGGCCTATTTATTGCAATTTCACGCTGCGATGATCCCACCAGTCTATGCTGGAAATGGCAACTGTACCCACAGTGTCTCCAGCGTTGTGTCGTGCATGGTTTTGTTTTCCAGACCTACTAAAATCGTTTGAGAAGGTGGCAAAATCTCCTCTGCTTCAGAGCACAGAGAATTCTCTCAAAATAACTCACCTTGTACAGGTCCTCCAGCATAATTCTGCAGGGGCCACAGTGAGTTAGAGGCCACTTCTCTGCAGCTTCCCCAGAGATCTGAGTCTCCGTCCCTACAGTGGGCTGGGTTGGCGCCCACGTGAGACACCCACCTGGACTGGCCATCAGTATGGGGTGATGAGCGGGGGCCAGCTTCATAGAACAAAGGGGGATGGCCGAGGATGTTCCTGGTGGTTGTAGGGAAGAGAGGTCGAGGGGAGGCAGGAGGTTTGACAAAAAGGTGGAGGAGCAGAGGCATCAAGGAGCAAGAGATAGAGCTTCACTACTCTATCCTGAGACCCAGGGGCTGTGTGGGCCTGAACTGCCTTCTGCGCAGAGGGCTGTAGAGTTGTGGCTCTGAGGGAGAACGTAAGGTGGGGAGGCAGGTGGAAGGTTTGAATGAAGAGTTGAGGATGCAGACGATGGCATGTGGAGGGCTGGAATTGGTTCAAAGAGGGGGTTCCTTCGGGGAAGGGGAAATACAGGGCAGGATATGGGGGACAGTATGGAGAGGTGACCCAACAGTGGGGGCAAGGCAAAGGAGTGAGGCCTGGCAGGTTCAACCTCGGGGAGCAAAGTATGCCTCCACCAGCGGAAGTGGCCAGGCTGTCCTCTGTCCTGGGGTGGGAAGATAAAGCCACAACCCCCCTCAGACCAGCTGCCCTCCCAGAGCTGTCCGTAGGGGACTTGACCTGAGCCATCTCTCATCCATACATCCGTCCATTCATTCATCACCCAGTGTTTATGACACTTGGGTCTAGTGTGCCCATGGCCTTCCCACCACCTTAAACTCTTACCTGCCTGCCTGACCACCACCTCCCCACCTCTGCCCTGGACTGTGCCCATCTGAGCTGTCAGTCATGGTCCTGCCTTCTCCCCGGAGCCGGTCATCACCCTCCTAACAAGCAGGCGTGCCTTGCCTATAACACAGTACCTCAGATCAATAATAATATCATGTGAGTTTTGCTACATGGAGCACCGACTCTGTCCAGGGCACTGTGCTAAGCACTGTACACCCATCATCCACTTTCACCCTCACCCTGTGAGGTAAACAGTATTATCTCCCCAGATGAAAACAGTGAAGCTTGACCAAGTTTTCCAACATCTTGAGGCAAAGAAGTGGAGAGCTGACATATTGAGGTCGGTTGTGTTACTTGTCCGTCGTTACATGCCCTCCCTACACTGTGCGAGGGTCTTATCCTCTACTTACTCTGGATGAGGCCCTCTGACTTGCTTTGATCAATAGAAGCGGTGACAGCTCCCAGTGAGGGCTTTAAGAGGCATCCCATGTTTCTACTCATCCCCTCGAGCTTTTGGCATCTGTCAGGGAATATCCTAGGTCCTGGAATGAGAAGACACAGGAGCAGACCTCCAGCTGTCTGGGGCCAGATGTGGCTGAGCCCAGCAGAGCTGTAGCCAGCCCACAGACCTCTGAGCAAGAAATATGTGTTTGTTGTTATAAGCAGCTAAGACTGGGGAGTTGATTGTTACTGCAGCAGAAGCTAACCAATACAGATTTTTCTGATTCTATTCAGTGCTTTTAAAATCACAGTGTTCTCCTGCCCCGGTGCTTCTGGGGCATAGATACCACGGCTGTTCTAACTGGGTCTGAACACCCTCTTAGGAAAGGCTCTGTCTTCCTCTCTTCATCAAGTTGAATCAGGCAGCCTACCGCTGTTGCAGTTGCTCTCTTCTTTTTCTTCCCCTGCCCTCTTCCTAGAAAAAAGCCTGCACATGGGGCGCCTGGGTGGCTCAGTCGGTTGGGCGGCTGCCTTCGGCTCGGGTCATGATCCCAGGGTCCTGGGATCGAGCCCCGCATCGGGCTCCCTGCTCAGCGGGGAGCCTGCTTCTCCCTCTCCCTCTGCCTGCCTCTCTGCGTATTTGTTCTCTCTCTCTATCTCTCTGTCAAATAAATAAATAAAATCTTAAAAAAAAAAAAAAAGAAAGAAAGAAAAAAGCCTGCACGTACCTATACATAGCAAATCTCTCAAACCCACTTCTGTGCCTGTCAGACAGCCAGGAAGACACAGAGGCAGCAGACACAGCTGCTCCCTCGCATGGTCAGTCGGTGTATGGATCACACGGCTATGCTGCTTCTGAGAGATTTGTCGCTCTGTGCTGTTATTACTCAGCTCAATTAAGAATGTAGAACTAAAACAATGCCTAAGAATTTTTGGAAAATTCTTTTGTTTTCATCTTGCCGGCGCTAAGTCCCTCTCCCGCATGACCTCACATTCCCAAATGATTTGTCATGAAAGTTTTTTGCTAATTTGCTTTCAGTTGTTTTGCTTCTGCTGTTTCTTCCCCACCTAATCATCTGCTGCTTCCACCTAACCATAATTCTCAAAAACAGTAGGACATGCAGTGAACAATACGCAGTAAAATTGATTAACTGAAACCCTTTTTAAAAAAAAAAATCCTAAAAGCTAATGGGATACTCTTTTTTATTTTAGCAGTCATGTTCTGTTCTATGGATTTTTTCTGCAAGTGTTTTTTTAAACGTTGTATCCTGATAAGACTAAACTTTTTAGCAGCAAAGACTTTATTCCTTCAAATAAGAACATGATTTTCTCTAAATGTGAAAGGCTCTGAAGTGTGGACTTACGTTCTGCTTCTGCAGCATTCCTTCTTCTGATAAAAGAACCCCATTTTCCTTGAGGACCCACCCGCTTCCTCTGTGCCCCTGTGGTCTGGGGGGACGTAGCCACACCCTCCGCTCCAGGAGCACGTCTGTGGTGCCCCAGGCTGTGTCTGGTCGGCACATTTGGGCGTTGGTTCAGGGTGGCGACCTGACCTGATCTAGGCCCAGGGGTTTTGCTGGAACTGTCAGGAAGAGTCACGTCTTTCCACTGGGCCAGGAGCCGTGAGGATACAAGTGGGGCATCCCTACTGCTATGTCACCATCACACAGAACCTGCCCCAGAACGGAGCAAATCAGAGGAGAGCCGAGCTGAGATACGGAGAAAGTGGCAAGTGATGAGGCCAGGCAACATCGTCTGAAGGTCTGGAGGGAAGAAGAGACAGAGAGGCAGACTGAGACACTGTAAAGTCTTGCTGATAATGTCACTCAGCATCTCAACACTCAACAGCTCAGGGTGGACCCGGCCAGCACCTGGCCAGCACAGCAAGGTGAAAAGTGACAGCAGGTGGCGGGGCTGGAGAGCCGCAGATGGCGGGGCAGGAAGGGTAGCTGATAGGACCCAGGCCACGGGGACAAGTTTCAAGAGTGACAGAGGCAGGCAGAGTCCCCAGGCAGAAGTGGTAGCCTGAGGCTGGGACCAGACACTGACCAGCGAGGACAGGGCCGCCCTGAGGCAAGTCGGTGGCCCTGGGACCTGCAGGTGAGCGGGGTGGCCCTGCGAGGTATGCCAGCTCCGGGGGCTGCAGGGGTAGGTTGCCCCCCGCCCCCCGCCTCTGACTCGGGAAATGCAGATTGGGAGCCAGGGGCACTTGGGGTGTGGAACAGCGCAGGCACCAGCACCCAGTGCCCTCCTCTTTTAGTTGATTCTAGTTATAGGCCATAGAAACCAAGTGGAGCCAGCTCGGGATTTTTTGTAAGGAGAGGGAAATTCTTGGAATTCAAGAACAGAAATGTACCTAAGTTCCAGAAAGGTCTGGGGCTGGTACCTGGAAACTCTGGGGAAACCAGACGACATTTATTTTCTCTCTCACTCTGCTCTCTTCTTTTTACCTCTACTACATCTCTCTCCCCCTTCCTCCCTCTCTCTCTCTCCCCCTCCTCCCTCTCTCTCCCCCTCCTCCCTCTCTCCCCCCTCCTCCCTCTGTCTCCCCCTCCTCCCTCTGACTCCCCCTCCTCCCTCTGTCTCTCCCCCTCCTCCCTCTGTCTCTCCCCCTCCTCCCTCTCTCTCCCCCTCCTTCCTCTCTCTCTCCCCCTCCTCCCTCTCTCTCTCTCCCCCCTCCTCCCTCTGTCTCCCCCCTCCTTCCTCTGTCTCCCCCTCCTCCCTCTGTCTCCCCCTCCTCCCTGTGTCTCTCCCCCTCCTCCCTCTCTCTCCCCCCTCCTCCCTCTCTCTCCCCCTCCTCCCTCTGTCTCTCCCCCTCCTCCCTCTGTCTCTCCTCCTCCTCCCTCTCTCTCTCCCCCTCCTCCCTCTCTCTCTCCCCCTCTTCCCTCTCTCTTTCTCCCCCTCCTCCCTTTCTCTCCCCCTCCTTCCTCTCTCTCTCCCCCTCCTCCCTCTGTCTCTCTCCCTCCTCCCTCTCTCCCCCCCTCCTCCCTCTCTCTCTCCCCCCTCCTCCCTCTCTCTCTCCCCCCCTCCTCCCTCTCTCTCCCCCTCCTCCCTCTCTCTCTCCCCCCTCCTCCCTCTCTCTCTCCCCCCTCCTCCCTCTCTCTCCCCCTCCTCCCTCTCTCTCTCCCCCTCCTCCCTCTCTCTCCCCCCTCCTCCCTCTCTCTCCCCCCTCCTCCCTCTCTCTCCCCCCTCCTCCCTCTCTCTCCCCCTCCTCTCTCTCTCCCCCTCCTCCCTCTCTCTCCCACCTCCTCCCTCTCTCTCCCTCTCCCTGTCCTCTGCTGCTTCTCCCCGCCCCCAACACCGCCCACGTGCATGCATGCACATACACATTTCTGTCTCCCTCCGTATTCTCATTTCTCTCTTTTCCTCTTTCCCTTCCCCGCTGTCTCACAGGAGATCTTTCATTCTCCCATCTTGGGTGGGGTGCCCGCTGTGGCCAGGACAGCTGAGACAGTGGGGTGCAGGTGGGGGGGATAAAGGGAGAGCCATGTCTCACAAGCATGGCTTCCAGGACTCACTGCTGTGGTGGGGGGCACTGCAGGTGATAGAGCGGAGGGGGTGTTGTCAGCATGAGCTGGCACAACACTCCAGACTCACCCCCAGGGGCTGGCCGTCGGCACACTTATTACCAGTTCCCACAGCAGTCTTGCACTGTTCCGATGTGTGCCCTCCCACAGTCATCCAGCCAGCGTTCACTGGGCACATGCCACGTGCCGTTCCCCACACTGGGAATGCAGTGTTGAGGGTGGAACTTGCATTCTGGCAGAAGGAGACAGACCAGCCACAGACACGTAAACAGAAATAGGTCATGATTAAGTTCAAGGATGAGAATACCAAGTGAGATGTGATGGGGTGAATGGGGCCACCTTGGTTTTGGGAACTGATACTTACCAGAAACCTGGGACAAGAAGCAGACAGCAGAACAAAGACTTGGGAGAAGCAGAGAGGAGGCAGTGTGGGGCACCTGAGTCCCAGGGAGTCTGGGTCACCGAGAGGAGGTGGCTGCCCCTGCAGTTCTGCTCCCCCGCCCCTCATCAGGAGCCGCAGGGGACAAGCGCTGAACCAGTCTCCTCAGCCTGTCCCCTCTGCCAGCTCATCGTGTCTCACAGGCCAGGTGCTCCAAGCAGAGCTACGAGAGCTCAGCTTCTCCACAGGTAACACCAACCCCTAATTCATCCAGGAAGACATGCCTCTCCCCATCCTGGCTCCATCCTCTTTCACTTTTCCCCCTTCTCCCCACGTTTCCAGCCCCCTGATGCAAGTCCAGGGTCCACAGGTTCTACTGTCTGAGCCCCTACCCTTTGTGTCTACCCTCATTGACTTTTTTCCCCACACGACTCGGCGATTCCCTGTCTCACAAGTCCTGCTTCTTGCTCACCCTTTCTGCCTCCGGGTCTCTCTGCTGGTCATCCTCAGAGGTCTCAGTCCTGCTTCTCCAAGCTGAAGCCTCTCCTGCACCGCTTATCCCCAAGGCTGGACCCAGCTCCTCCGTAGTTCCCCAAAGCATAGCTGGTGCCCGGCTGCAGCGTTTAATGAAACTTTCCTAAGGGCTGGGGGTGACATGAGTGATTACAAGACAAACAGATCATCTGAAACTGAAAATTCTCTAACCAGGGAAGGAAATATCCACCTCAAGTCATAGCTGTCTCTGCCGATGGGAGACTGCCTGCAAGGAAGATACTACATCATTACTCAGAATAATACAGCCTCCTATGACGTCAGCCTCTCAGGCCAAGATGGGTTCTGGGCTTTACCTGATAATCTAAGTCCCCCAAGGGACCCCCACCCCCAGGAGCTTCTTCCCGGGGCCTCACAAACACTCTATAGGTGGTTCCTGCAGCAGGAACCTGGGCTGAGGGAGACATGAAGCTGAGGTCAGCAGTCTTTCCACTCACCAAGTGGTGAGTGTGCCCAGAGGGGTTCCTGTTTCTAATTCACGCAAAGGCCCAGTGTTAACAGCATTGCAGAGGGATACATTCCATGGCCAACTGTCAGTCAGATTTTTCGGAAGAGAGCAGATACTCAGATAAAAGAAAAATTGTGCTTATAGGGGTTTTTTGACTTTGTGGGAAGCTGAGATGAAAACTTAATGGTAGGAATAATACCCCAAATGTTGATATTATTTATAACTTCATATAAGCCTCTAAATCCTTGGGGGAAAGAAAGTGTCTTCTATCATATCCTCTTTTCTTTTCTTTTTTTAAAAATACTTATTTATTTGAGGGGCGCCTGGGTGGCTCAGTTGGTTAAGCGACTGCCTTCGGCTCAGGTCATGATCCTGGAGTCCTGGGATCGAGTCCCACATCGGGCTCCCTGCTCAGCAGGGAGACTGCTTCTCCCTCTGACCCTCCCCACTCTCATGCTCTCTCTATCTCATTCTCTCTCTCAAATAAATAAATAAAATCTTTAAAAAATATATTTATTTGAAAGAGAGAGAGCATGAGCAGAGGGAGGGGCAGAGGGAGAGGGAGACGCTGACTCCCCGCTGAGGAGGGAGCCCATTGTGGGGCTCCATCCCAGGACCCTGAGATCATGACCTGAGCCAAAGTCAGATGCTTAACTGTCTGAGCCACCCAGGTGCCCTGATCATACCCTCTTTTCCAAACAACAAACACGTTTAAGGATCTCTCTCTCACAGAAAAGTAAGCTGCAAGACATGACATTTTTTTAAATTACCACATACCTTATTCAACATTCGACATTCGACAGGGAGAGACAGTGAGAGCAGGAACACAGGAAGGGGGAGTGGAAGAGGGAGAAGCAGGCTTCTTGCAGAGCAGGGAGTCCGATGTGGGGCTCGATCCCAGGACCGTGGGATCATGACCTGAGCCGAAGACAGACGCTTAACGACTGAGCCACCCAGGCGCCCCCCTAATTGACTTTTCAAAATGAGTTTGTGTTTAACCTCTTAGCTGTATTTATTCCCTACAACTACATCCCAGAGTTTAGGCTCATTCTGAGAACTTCTCCCAAGTTTCTCCCAGGAAGAACACATCCATACGCGCGCCTGGGGAAGGGGAGGGGAGCATGATGGGCCTGGGTAAGTGGAGGGGGCGGGGGACCCCTGCTTGAGGCCGCCATGTATCGGATATTTTCTCTCTCGTGGTATCACAACAGGCTACAGATTCTACAGCTGTTCTCTCTGGCCTGTGTAAACTCTGGGCATGGATGACCATCTCCTGGGGCAAATCTGCTAAAGCGAGTATCACCAGCCAGTTAGGGTGAATTGGTCCCAGCGGGTGCCCGGGAAGGAGGCCCCCAGTGCCGCCATCTCTCCCTCAGGTAGGCTGTGGAAGCAGCATCAACAGCCCCCTGGCTTCTTCCTTCTCATTTTTTTTTTTTTAAAGATTTTATTTATTTATTTGAGACAGAGAGAGCACATGAGAGGGGGGAGGGTCAGAGGGAGAAGCAGACTCCCTGCCGAGCAGGGAGCCCGATGCGGGACTCGATCCCGGGACTCCAGGATCATGACCTGAGCCGAAGGCAGTCGCTCAACCGACTGAGCCACCCAGGCGCCCTTTCCTTCTCATTTTAAGCTACTCTCCTTAGGAAGGAGAATTCAGATTTTACCAGGTCTCCCTCCTTCAAAAGCTTCCACAGGCTGGCCATGGCTATTTATGTTCCCTAAATTAATTTTCTTTTTTTCGCCTTTTCTCCTGATGCGTCCTTAACCTAGAGCACCTTTCCTCTCCATTCTTACCATATAAATCGCACGTAATCCTCGGGGTTCGATTGAAGTGCCACCTCCTCTGTGAAGTCTCCAGTGAACAACACCCCACTTAGCATGAAATACTCCCAGGATACTTTGATTGTGATTCATATTGACCACTTACTTTTGCTTTTGCTTTATAGTAAGTTTCATGTTTTCTCTCTTGACTCTGAACCCCTTGAGGTCTGAGATTATGTTTCCTCCCCATGCTGAAAAGTAGGGGTTTTCATTATTCACTCAATTGATGTATTTAGCTGATATGAGCTCATTGCTGGACCTTTACTACAGATGGTGACTGAGCCTTTCCTCTGTGGTCCATAGAGAAGTTTCCAGCATGTGATCATCAATAGGCAGGAGGGGACTGGTCAGTGTGAGAGTGCCAAGGGAGGATTGAGACCCAGGCAATCTGCACACAGCTCTTCAAAGTGGTAGAAGCATCCAGAGGAGAGGGGCAAGTTACCCACACATGCAGCAGGCTGAGAGCATCTACCTACCATTGTCAGGCAAATGAGAGCTAGAGGATATTGGAATCTTGCTCTTTAGCCGAAAATGCCTACCATCCATAAGTGGTGATATCCTGGAGTCAAGGTCACTGGTGAACAGATCGAGCATCCATTTTATTGTATACTAAACATCGGTGGGTTGGGAGGTAGCTAGATGACTCTTCATTCATTATCTCTTTGGTATTTATGCTTAGCTCTTCAATATTTTTCAGAGCTCCATTTGTCCCTTTTTAGGAAGTGCTGAATTTAAATACTCTGGTCTTGTTTGTGGACCAGCCAAATAGAACTCTGAGGAGCCAAAGCCAGCCACGTCCTCCCCATCTTCACTGACCGACACTTGTGTATGGCCAGCGTGAATGAAGACTGTGAAGGCAAGAGGGGTACTTCAGCTGCTCCTATGTGGTCACTCCACCCTGGGTTCCTGCTCTGCTGTGTGCTCTCCCATCCAACCTCTCTGCACTGCTTGCAGGCTTCAAGTCCTAAAACACAAATCTGACCATGCTCCTCCCCTACTCCAGTCGCTGCCCTTTGTTCAGACCAAGATCAGGTTTCCTATCCTGCCATTCCTGGACCTCTGTGACCCTGCCTCCATCTCTTCCTTGTACTTTATTTTGAGGCCATGCCCAGTTTCTGGTGGTCTGCTCCATGCTTTTCATTCACCCCCATGCCCTTGCTCTTGCTTTGACTTCTTCTTGTGCTAGCCTCTCTACCTCTCTTTGCTTGTCTAGATCCAGCTTGTCTTTTAAACATCTCATCAGTTGTCATCTTCTTCAGGAGGCATTCTGGAGAACCTCCTACTATGAGTTCAATGTCTCTTGTATGTGTTCTCTCCCACTGGTACCCTGGGCCTACCCCTACCATAGCGTTGGGTGCCACTTGATATTATCTGTGTACCTGTCATCCACAGCCCATCCTGCTGCTCCTTGAGGATAGCAATTGTTATTCATTGTTGTATAACCAGTACCTGGCGAAATGCCTGGCACAAGTCAGCATTGAATAAACTCTTGTTGGATAGAATTCCAATTTCTTCTATCTTACAACTCAAAAAATCATTGTTGATTTGTTAGTTGGACTCTGCATGACATATTTTCAAAACTACAGCTACAGTGGTTCTGTTAATGTGTAAAAGTAACCCAGGGCTAGCTCGCTCTGAAAGCCGAAGAAGCTCCATTTTCTTGAAGAGCAAATGAGCTCTACCTCCCGTCCAGCACTCAGTTCTCCAAGTGCAAGGCAGCACCCGTGAGAATGACAACAGTGCCGAGTTCTCAGTCTTTGTTCAGATGGGATTTGTGGCAACAAAAAAGCCCAGACAGTTCTCAAAAGGGTCTGGGCAGAGAATCATCTTAGTTTAACAACAGGTTGGAAGAACCATGACCATCTCCTCCAGAAGTTCATGTTTGGACTCCCCAGGCTAGCTGCTTATCTCCACAATCTTTCAAGATGCCTCTTCACACTATTTGCATCATTTGTTGTATGTATCGTGGCATTCTGTTCAAGGAGTGCTCAATCAAGTTTCCTTTAAAACAATCACCTTGCAGAGGGATGTGGGGGATTCAGTCATTTATTTATATATCAACAAATATTGATTGACTACCTACGATGGGTATACATCTGTGAGAAAAAATAGACAAAAATTCTTGCCCAAGTGGAGTTTATATTCTAGTGGGGAAAACCAGGAAATAAACATTGTAAATGAGCATGTTATGTATTGTTGAAGGTAATAATCACTAATTAATAAAAATAAAAATACAATAGGGCAAGTAAGGGGGACCAGAAATATTGTAGTGGATTTTTTTTGTTGGTTGGTTGGTTGCTTGGCTGGCTGGGGTTTTTTTGTTTTTTGTTTTTTTTTAAGGGGGGAGTGATAATCTAGAAGTAATGTAGGTCTCGCAGAGAACTGAAACATTTGAGCAAACAGTTGAAGGAAATGAAGGAGGAAGCCACGTAAGTATGCAGCCTGAGAGGTGGCCAATACAAAGGCCTTAGGGAAGTTTGTACAAGGAGCCCTGAGAACAATATGGGGGATGCCGGGTGAGGGAGAGAAATAGGAGATGAGATCAGAAAAGTAACAGGTGTGCAGGGCTCAGATTACATAGAACCTAATAGGTCTTTATAAGGACTCTAGTTCATACTCTGAGATGAACAGGAAGCCATTGCCCGATTTTGTAGAGAGATGTGACGTGATCTGAGGTTATAACTGATCCCTTTGATTCTATATTGAGAATAGACTGTAGGGGGCAAGGGTGGAAGGTGGGAGATCCACTAGGAGTCTACTGCTGTTATCCAGATGGAAACTATAGAGGCTTGGACTGGTGTAGAAGCGGGGTGGTTATATTCTGTATGTATTTTTGGAAGGAGACCTAATAGGATTTCCTGATGTAGGGTATGACAGAGAGAAGTGGAGGATGATTTCAGTGTTTTAGGCCTGAGCAGCTAGAAGTGAGCTGCGGAAGACAACTGGTAGAGCATCTGTGCAAGGCGATCAGAAGTTGGACCTACCGAGTTTGAAGCGTCTATTGGATAGCTACAGGGAGACATCAAGTGGAACTTAGGTGCAGAAATCAAGAGTTCCAGAGAAAGGTCAAGCTGACGTTGTAAAGATGGTTGACATATAAATGGAGAAGAGAAGAGGTCCAGGGACTAAAAACTGGGACATTCCAATACTTTAAAGGTAGGAAAAAGAAGAGAAATCAACAGAGACTAAGAAGGAGAAAATCACTGAAGTAGTAAGAAAACCAGGAGCATCCAAAGACGAGAGAAGATACTATTTCCGGGAGAAGGAAGTGATCAGATCTCAGATGTTGCCAAAAGATCGAATAAGATGAGGACTGAGAACTGACATTGAGTTTATCAATGTGCTGGGTATTGGTGACATGGGATACTGGGTTGATTGTGTCCTCCCAAAATTCTTATCTACCCAGAACCTTTTTTGGGAATATAATCTTTGCAGATATATTTAGTTACATTAAAATGACATCATACTGGATTAGGATAGGCCCGAAATCCAAAGACTAGTGTCCTTATAATAAGAAGACCATGTGGTAAAGACACAGAGAGAGCCTACGAGGAGAATGTATGGCGACGGTGGAGCAGAGATTGGCGTGATGTGGCTACCAGCCAAGGATTGCCAGCAACCACCAGGAGCCAGGAGGAGGCAAGGAAGGATTCTTCTGGAGAGTCTTCAGAAAGAGCACGGCCCCACTGACACCTTGAATTCAGACTTCTGGCCTCCAGAACTGGGAGAGAATAAATTCCTATTGTTTTAAGCCACCCAGCTTATTATATTTTGTTATGAAAACGCTAGGACACTGATGCACTTGGTGCCTTAGCTTGGGCTGCCGTAACAAAATACCGTAGACCGGGGCTTACACAACAGACGTTTATTGCTCACAGTTCTAGAAGCTGGAAGTGAGAGGTCAGGGTACTGGCATGGCTGGGTTCTAGTGAGGACTCTCTTCCTGACTTGCAGATGGCTGTTTTCTCCCTGTGTGCTCACATGGCGGGTGAAAAGACAGAAAGAGTGCTAGCTCTCTGATGTCTCCTGTAAGGGCTCTAAGCCCATCATGAGGGCCCTACCCTCAGGACTTCTCACCCTAGTTGCCCTGCAAAGATCCCATCTGCAAATACCATCGCATTGGAGGTTAGGGCTTCAATATATGAATTTTGTGGGGTACACAATTCATTCCATAGCACTTGATAAAGCAGTCATTTTACATCTCTGTACCTTGATTTCCTCATCTGTAAAATGGGGATAATAATAGTATGCCCACCTCAGAGAACTGTGGTGAGGAGCAAGTGAATTAATAGATATAAGAGTCTTAGAATAGTTCATACTAAATGCTATGTAATATTAACTATTATAATGATTTATAAATCCAATCATTTTGTTTTGAAATTAAAACACTCATTTTCATTTGTTCTTTGTTGAATTCTCAATTAGCTCATTAACTTGATAGATTATATTTCCCTAAACTGCTAAACACTAATTTCACACTTAATCAAATTCTCTTAAACATTCCAAATTAAAGAAAAAAAAA